ATATGGTTAACTTGCGTTATCGGCATTTATAAACTACTACGTGAAAAAAAGGTTTATGTTATATGTCAAACTCGGAATTCAAGGACTGTCCTGTACCACGATACGTCTAATTAGTTACTTTTAGCGATAGTATCCATACAATTTGTTCATTTTGTCTATAATATTAGAGTACATTGGTACAGAGGAGGTGAATGACCTTTATTGCACATTTATCTGGCACTGACTATACTTATACCTACATCCGTCAGAAGCGCGCTTAAAAAATCAGTAAGGGCCGGTCTTTACTCACAGCAACAGCCAAAGTAATAATGTTCTGTTTGGCCGACTGACTACTGGGTGATTCCTGAGAATGGCGTTTTTGAGTTGATTTTCCTGGTCATTTTGAAATTTCAAATTAACGAATATATTTTGGGTCAGGGTTAAAATTAAGAGCCTCAGTTATAATATTTTTTGATAGGCACCCGTGTCTGTTCAATGGTTTCCAAGACATTTGATTTTGAAATTTCGTGGCCAGGAAAATCAATAATGACGCACAGGAAAATCAAGAAATGAAACAAATTTCATTGAAAATCACTGTTCTTAACTTTAAATGCAACAATCAAAGTTTGAAATTAGTATTTATTCTTTATCTAAATTTTCTCAACAAATGTTTCCAAGGGGATTTCTTTTTTATGGACTGCTTTGTAGTAACGGTAGTGATTAGCCGAATGGAGAGAGAGTGTTGTTTGAGAAATAGAAGAAACTGATTATTGGTAGGTGAAGGTGGTGGAGACGAACAATCAATGCCTTGTTGATCTGTGTTGTACGTACGAGTAGTTTCCCTACAGCTTGTTTCTGCTTGCGATAACAATTTTGTTAATGATCGTTTTGATCGTTTTGTCAATCGAGTAATGATATTGTTTCTAGGAGACTTCTTTCTGGTGACAACGGGAGAAATTGATAAACTTGCGGCTGGAAAGATGGCACCACTTACAGAAGTAGAAAGTCTTAAAGGATTATCGTCACTTATTGGATTCTTACACTCTACGTGGTGGTCTTCTCCTTCTAAGCGTACTCTATTAAAATCATGGTTTTCTTACAGCTGTCTCATCTTTTTCTTTAAATTATTGTATTCGAACTTAAACGATTCTGCTTTCTTAATTTTTCTTTGTTGTTGGTATTATTTTTCCGGATCTTTTCTGTTTCAGATTTTTCGTTTAGCTAAGCCTTACACTGAGCATCATTTTTTATTAGTTCGTATCGACGACGTTCAGCTTCTCTCTTTTTTTTTTCAAAATCTCCTCTTTATTTTGCTTGCTTCGGTGCATTGTGATATAGAAAATGTGAATTCAAGTAATAGATATATCTATTTTGAGCTGATTATTTCCTGTTGCCGTCCATGACAGAGCCGAAGTGGTTTTTTATTTGACTTAGTACTACTCATCTTGGGAAATTTAACTTGGAATATGTAAATGTAATGAAAATACTCATATTCAGTATTTTAAAATCAAAAGTAAAACACCAAATTCAATATTTTAATCATAAATATATATTTTAGTTAGGATTTGGCATTGTTTATACTTTAAAAATCAAATATATGACTAATATAGGCTTTAGACCGCTTTTTCCTAGGAAACTTTGATTTTTCTGGTTAAATATCCAGGAAAATGAACTACAGGAAAATCATAAAAATGGACATAATCGTCAATAGCTGTTCAAAGATAGTGGATAGCTAAACCTATTTTACACAACAGTATGTCAATAGAGAAAGCATGTTTTTAAAGTAAACTGAGATTATAACAAACAGGATCTATAGAAACAAAACCAGGAAAATCAATAGTAAACCAAAACCAATAGCAGGAGAATCAACTTCTTACCTAAATATTTCGCGAACTTGACGACGAGCCGCACAACCTCTCCTCATAACACTTGATATGCGGCTAACACTCCGCGTGGGGAGGTACAGCAAGTAACAGAAATCGACAGATAGTAATGTACGCGCATTTTACTGATGTACCAGGAAAGTCAACGTTTGGTCTCGGACAACTTATAAATTTGAAGAATAGATGAATTTAAATATATTACAAGATTTAAATTACTATTATTTGATTCGTCAATTCATTACCAAACGAATTTACTTTACTCGTTAATGTTTCCATATTTACGAAAAAATCTGTAAGCATTTGTTCCAGAAAAAACGTGAAATGGACAACCCAGGAAAGTCAATTTTCAGTCATTTGAAAAATAAAGAAACTATTTAATTAAGTCTTTTTCTTTATGATAAATAGTTTTGCAACAAGATTATAGTTCAAACTTTATTTGAAAAAATACGAGAAAAATTAACGTAGTTAAATATACGAGATATCTTTCCTGACATCCAAAATTGAGCCTCTCAGGAATTACCCTACTAAACAAAACACAACGTTCAATTATTGTTTATTCGCTCATGCATCGCCCCGCCACCCCGTATCTTCTCGAAGCTATGATTGTATATGTTGAAATATTCCTTCAAAAGTTCAAATAAAGATGGGACAAAAATGACCCAGCGGCAGTTCTAGGTCTAGGTAATTTTTTTGCTTAGTTAGTTTAATATTTATCATATGTTTTATTAACACGCGTGTTCAAAAATATTTACACTTCCTGCGGTATTAGAGTTTAAATTCTGAAGAAAGATCAAAGAAGTAGACTTAAGTACGTAAAGCTGAGTGTATATTTGGCTATTTTTAGGGATTATGTGGGCCAATCCCGACGGCACTGCAATGCCGGGCCGACCCGTGACGGGAGTGGAGCGAGCCCCGAACATCCCATCGGTTTACAAAAATCAGTTTAATATACTGGTCCCTCAGTGAGGGAACTTTCAGATATTAAGCTGAAAAGAACAGATACTACACTTTGATCTTAGCCAAAAGGCCGAGAAGCGATGTCGAAACAAACTAGATTACATAGGGTCATGAAATCGGCAAAAATCTTAACACCGCCGACTAGAGATGAAAGTAAACAACTCACAAAGCGACATCTATCCTACAAATGCAGTATTATTACCTACCTTTATTACTTTTAGTCATGGAGGAGTCTACTCCATGCTTTTAGTGTACTGCCAAAGTTTATGAGAAATAGACGGATTATGAGACTTTTCTTAAGAATTTGTAAATATAATTTGATCACTAGTACAATATTTTAAATGAGGAGAATAGCTTTATGATGAACAAAGGGCGAATGTGATAGATTAGTAAACTAGGCGACATCTAAATAAACCTACGGCCTCCAACTATATTTCGTTGATGGCGTTGTAACGAACGACCTTATAGTTAACGCCGTCTTAAAAGGTCTCAACTAGAGTATTGATGCCTTAAAACTTAATCAATATAAATATAAAAATGGATGAACATGCGGTTGCACGTCAGTTTTTCACCAGTTGATTTAAAACTACCTACAAACTTTATGGTCCAAAAAAACCAAGTGGTGAAAATTGACAATTTGTTTGAAGTGCTACGCAATATGCTTCATCCTAAAAATAAAGAGTAATAAATAACCTAAAAATTAAAAAAAACACGACTCCCAAAATCGAATTAGAAATAAAAGAAATAAGTGGTACTGATGATTTTAAAAATGTTTTTTAATTTTTAAATTATTTATTTTATGCCTTTTAGTGACAAGTAAATGTATAAAAAGTATATATTTTTAGAATGTACTCATAAAAAACTTTTGATTTGATATCCATGTCGTTAGATGAAGAAATGCTTTTTTTTACCCGACTGCGCGACGCAAAGGAGAGTAATGTGTTTATCAGTCAATGTATGTACGTAAGTTCGTTTCTATGTGGCGTTCTAAACCGAATGCGTAGGCCGATTTTGATGATTTTTACGTCAATCGATTCGTCTTAACCTTGCGAGTGTCACTAAAGACATGAGAGTAGTCAAAATTCATCATATTGTCAAAATGAAAAAATAAAATCGATGAACTTTGTCAAGTGGTGTGTCGTTGAATAGGTATTTTAAAATCATCTTTAGGTTCCTTTTATCATTTTTCATTTTAAATAATAGTTTAGGATAATATATAACGATTTAAAATTGTTTAACAAAACATTTTCACTAATTTTCTTACTTATTGATTTAAGATTTTATTTAAAGTATAAAATATTATGATTTACAAACAAAAAAAAAACAGTGAAAAAGAATGAAGAATAAATATTTTTGGTAAAAAAAATAAAGCATAGCTTTGAGCCGAATTAGGTCTCTAGAGGGACTAATCATCAGTAGTTTAGACCACCTCAAGTTACTTAGTAATCCCCACGATATTAACTCCCTCAATGAAATAACTAGATTGCGAAATTTACCATCTTATTCCCCTTGGGAAGATTTGATTGGTAAAATTTGAATGGGCCCCGACTGTGAGTCGTACTGTTCTGTATTACTAAACAGAATTCTTAACAACTGGGCTTGTTTCTTTCTTTTTAGTTTTTATTTAAGTTAATTTTTTAAAATTCATTTTAACGCAGTCGAGTTTTTTTGTTTTTCTTTATTTTTAAATTACGTTATAAGTATACGTCACAATAGAAGATGTATTTAAAAATATATATATAGTCAGTATTACTCGGGCTGATGTAAGGCTTCTAATGATACCTTAAACATTTATATCCATTAGTCTTTCAAAACTTATGGTGGAATAAAGTAACTCATATACATATTTATATACATTAACCCTAAAACTCATTTGGACAGTTGTGTAAAAAGTAAGCTTTATTTCTATTGAGTACATTTTTTTAGTTGACTATTAATAATTTAATGAAAAAATTGCTATTTTTGTATACCTATACCCAATGAATGACTCGGAAATAATAATCAACTGTTAAAGAATAAACCTATTACTCAACATAAGTTAGGACACTAACATTTAAAAATCATTTACATTTCTGCCTTATCTGAAAGGCAGTGACCCAGGAACAACATAATTAAGTGACATTATTGTTAGCTCTACCCTATATAATAGAACTAAGCATAACCGAAGCCCATTTAGGTCAAATGGAGCCTTACAGGATACTGTTTTCTTTTGTATTTTGTGTTTATGGTGTCGGTTTTACCTCTGGTTTGTTTTTCCCTTCTTCTGAAACTGGGTTAGATGCTGTAAATAAAGCGACAAGATGTAAGTTGTAGATTGTACATCTATTAATTTGTTTTGTTACCTAGCCACGGTTTGAGGTGACATGAATAAAATAAAGAAGTCATTAGAAAAATGACCTTTATCATAAAAAAAAAACATCTACACGAGAGATTATTTTCATGAAACAAAACCTGTATACTTATCTACCTCAAGAGTATTAGGGATATTCCTGATGCTTATCAAGTTTAAATTTATGATAGTTGCTTACATTTTCAGGGAATATACCATGGTTGGGATTTGGAATGTGGTGCAACGGTTGTCCACCCAGGAGTTGTGAGGATGACGAAGCAATCATACATGGTTACTGTTGCGGGTGTGCGTATTCTTCAGGTATGTTACTTCCCAGTCAATATTCATAATCGTATAACTTATCACGGTCTCATGATTGGAAATAATCAATTTTGAAGTTATTGAGAGTCCGAAAGAGTGACCAGCGTTTGTAACGGTATAAGGAAACACTGTGGTTTCATATACTGCATTCCTTTGCTCGGCACATCTCATGTACAATGATTTGAAATTAATAAAAATGAATATTCCTTTCGTTTACAGATAGATTACCAGTAATCTGTCCAGAATTCCTACAATGTCCATTAAATCTTCATGGACTCTGCCACGACTATGAATATATGATGAGGTGCTGCTGTTAATGGTAATAGAAGATGAGCTTGTGACAAAAAAATGTAAGAAGCATGGGTACAGGTACATCATTCGGTACTCATGTGGTGAAACACCGTGGTGGCGCTATTTAAAGTAGACTATGCAAGGAATAATGGTCAACAACTATATATGTATTTCATGCGTAGACTAATCGCACGTTATATATCGAAACTAGAAAGTCTTAAGTAGGTATGTTTTGTGTTTTAAATATCAGCCATTTCTAAACTTTATTTCGGAGCAAGAGTTTCGCAACACCTTCTAAGCCGTGCTGAGTCTCTGCGTTGCACAATTGTGTGGCCTAATCAGTACATTGTACTTTTTTATATTAAGAACAAGCTTCTCGCTGATTTTTAATAATCACGTAACTCTTATCTCAAGTTTCCATTCAACAAATAACCTCAAAGTGCGCTGCCACGAGATTTCTGAGTTCCGTCCATACTTGATACTGAAATTCAACCTTTACAAAACTCTTGCACATTTTTGTCACAAACCCTTAGACTGAAATAAAGACTGATCCACGTTTCATTTACTAGGTTTAAAAATAAAACACTTTTTATAGCATACTGTTTTAATTTCTAAGAAACCCTCAATACAGAATTATAGTGGGTTAGCGGATTTGATTTAAGTAAACTTAATTCAGACATAATAGTACAAAAATAACGACATACGCGAGTAAGTTATAGATCGACAGATTATAAAATAATTTAATCCAATCAGTCCAATGTTTCAAACGTCCTCTCTTAATTATATAGATATTTTAAATTCGCAACCTTGAAAAAAAAACCGATGCACATTAACTAATGGAGAAATAGTGCGCAGACGCATGAAACATCGTAACGGTGTTAAAATATCACAATATTGCTGTGATATCGATATATGAATGTCTTTTAATTAATACTATGATCCCGCTTTTTCTTCGACCGCTGACTATATAAGTTTACTATTATAATATCTGTCTAAACTATCTAAGGCCAATTTGCTATATCTACAATTTTGTGTTAAAAGTCGCGACACAATCTTAATTTAAGATTTTCTAACACAAAATCTTCAACACAGCACAACCCCAGTACACTTCACGATAATATTTGAATAATATAAACACCCAGTGCATACGAAGATAAGTAAATTAGTATTTCACGTGACAAAATTATAAAGTAACACAAGCTAGAATAAAATAATTAGCCTACACTTCAATAGAATAACAAATGGTTTAATTTACACAAGAGGGTTGTCACACTAAGCTACTTACTAGTTGAGCCTTATCCGTAGTAGATACTGAAATCCATTGTTACCCTGCACCCACGTAAACTGTCACAAATGTAAGAAATAAGTTTCTCCTGAAAACGACATTAAAATAGACATTCCCCACCAATGCCTGTTGGTGCCATAGCATAGTAGCATAGTGTGACATTTGACGGAGTATGATACAAGGCCGGTACTAAAGCTATTCCATACAAAACACTTTTGAATTTGCATCTCACATACAATTATCTACTGATCTTAGGTCCACCTGTATTTATGAAACAGCACAAAATTAACCTACGATATTCATTACCATTATAAACATGTATAAACATACACCCATACATTTCATCTCGTTCCTTTGACAATATCCTCGGACAGTTGCAACTTAACAGAAATTAGCTTACGACGACCGGAGAGGGCTGTGAGGCCGCGTCCGTCACTATAAATTATTTATATATATATTTTATTTATTTATTATAATGATGCTTTCGTGAAACGTGGTGTCGTAATTGTATTTTTATATTTGGGATGTGGCGGCCGGCCACTGCGATCCGGACCTCCTCTGCGTGTTGCCGCCCGCCTGTTACAAAACATCAACCAATTTGTACTTTATAAATACTACAAAAATACATTTGTACCATGCATGCAAATAAATACTATATTATTGTGCATAAATGTGTACATAATTATATAACTTTATATAACAGGACTTTTAACTGCTATTTAAATAAAATAAAATAAACTTTTCATTGTTTCCTCTACAGAAACTAATCAGAGCCGAGAGAGTTAATCACAACAGAGGCCGAGTGTCTCGTTCTAATATCTTGCCATTATAATCGTTGATTAACAATTTAAACTAAAATAACCTTAGTGAATCTTAGTGGTACACTTGCATCTTAATGGTAACTATTAAAAAAAATTAGTTATTATATAATCACATTAACATATTTAATATTAAATTATTACAATAAGATAATATTAATTATTGTTAAAGTTATTTGTTCACTTATTTTCTACTGGTATCCCTTTTAAGTGTCGTGGCAGTGACATATTAGATATAATTTACAAATATTGATTCAAAATATTTCAACAAACGTAATTCATTACGAAGTTTCAACTTCATGAGTAAACAAACACTTGTGGTTCTCCATCTTATAAAGGGCTCGCGATTCGTGCGACTGTAAGTATTTAAATTAATAATAAGAATATATTTATTGTAACAAAAATTTTAACAAGATTATTATGTACGATAATAGCCGCATTAGTTAAAAACCTTAACCATATGAAAAGACTCACTTAATATAAATGTTATTGTCGCCTGTTATTATAATGTGATATCTCGCTCGGCTCGTTTTTCAGCTGCGAGAACTCTGTCCTGTTATTTATACCTACAATACTAAGTCCATGGATGCAAGACAACCAAAGAGTAATATATATAAGACTGCTGACATTATAAATCTATACTTTATAATGTCCATGAGTCAAGCTATAAGGCTTCAAAAATTACTACAAAATCTACAAAGAGTATATTTACATATAGATATAAAATTATTAAAAAGTATAAACTCAAAGTACGCTTTTGTAGCATATAAAAAAAATATTTAGGTGATAAATACATATTAGATGATGAAAAGCATATTTTGTTTTGTTATAAAAACAAAACTAAAGATTTCATTTTGAAAAAATTTAAATGGGATCACTTTGGCCCATTAACTGTCGAATAATAATTTTGAAAATCGATTTTCAATTGGCGAAGTAACATCGTCGTAACAAACACACAAAAAACATACGGATCAAGACGAATTAAAAACCTCCTCCTTTTTTGAAGTTGTTTAACAATTTAGTTGTAATTGATGAAAGTTAGTGTATATCGTCAAATCGCCATCTCAAAATCTTCTGAAACAAGAGATCTTATTTTTTCTCATTTTCGAAATACAGCTTTACTATTTACCTACCTAGGATAAAACTAATATGGCTCACCGATTTACCTTCGGAGGAGACTAAAATTCAAAGCGGAACCAATGTCGGCCAATCAGAATGATTCGATTAGTGAGCGCATCGGAAGAATTGCGCGCTTGACCCTCGCCAAATGTGACTGAGACGGAAACTGCTCTGTACTTTACATTTTATGGAAAATTATGCAAGACTCATTATTATTTTTGTACGTTTTTGTTTTGTTTTATTGTACGTTAGATCTTCATGTGACTTCGAAGGTCTACTCTGCGCAAAGATTCACTGAGATTCATTATTTGGATCTTAATTAACCTACTAATAAACTTTAATCTTAATAATTTTGATTTATCAAGTATTGACGAAGAGGGTGACGATGAATGGTGTGGACACTAGTGCGAAAATAAACAACTTATCTTCTCAAAACTATATTGTCCACAAAACAAATATACTCGTCAAAGCACGTGACAATCAATAAAAGGTCATATGTCAATACAAAACAAAAATTAAATAAAAATCAAATATATATAAAAAAACTATAAAAACAAAGACAACATATAAAAATAGGTCGGTTCAGCTGACGATCCTCAACAGATACATTCACATCTATCTTAGAAAAGTTACTTGTTATAAGTAAATGACTCCAGAACTTAAACCAGCTATTATAACTTTCACTACCTCCGTAACTGCTTTCCCAACTCCTATTATAATTTGAACTTTTAAATTTAGGCGAAAATATTATTTACAATAACAATAAATGATAAACAAAAAAACTACTGCAATGAATTTTAAAAAAACAACTTTATTTTATAATTAATATATGGCAGCACTTAACTTCGCGGGATCAGCTAGGTAATTGCAATATATTGCAACTGCCTTAGCCAGCAACACAAAGTAAAAAAAAATAGTAAACATCGTAATTTAACTTTGCAATATGATAATTTCTTTATTTACCAACTCAATATGAACAAGATAATATTGTGCATTTTGAATAAATTTAACTTTATCATGACACTAGTATTTTTTGCAGTATGTTTATTTTCACACCACATGTATTCACAGTAAACTCACCATCGACGACTTGTTCAGCAGCAGGAGGATTTGCCAGTGTCGATAGGGCGGCCCTGGTCGATCTTTACGGAGGCGCCAGCGGGCGCGGCACCGCCTGTGGGTGGACCCACGCGTGCCTTAATCTCTGCTGCCATCGTCATGAATGCCTGTTCCACATTCGTCGAGTTTTTCGCCGACGTCTCCAGGAATGGAATACCAAGTTGTTCGGCATATTGCTGTCGGCAAATGTAGAAGGCTACTCGTTTAAATATGTTATAGATCGCGGCACATAGCTTAAACCTTTGTTCGACTCGAAAATATGAATCTGAATATTCAAGATTGGACCATGAATGGATGGATAGGGGTTACCAGGTCTTTACATTGAAAAATCAACGTTATTGGTATATTCAATTCTGGAATGTGTTTACGAAAGGTCAGAGGCTCATGCCTTGGCAAGCATTGCATTCAGGGGCCAACCAAAATCATCATCATCCCTAAGTAATCTCAAACCTCTCTACTAGTATAATAGTATAACTATTATTTATCAGGAAACATACTATTGAGGAGGATGATGGAAATCAGGTATTTTAAATGGGATAATGGAAGATTTATTTTATCTTTTATGTTACAAATTTTAGTACAAAGAGTAAAGTATCAGACAAAAACCAAAATGACATTCTTTATAAACTTAAAATAAAACATAATCAAAGATATAATGAGGTGCTATCATGCACACATACTTTATATAGGTAAATAATATAAAGACTACATCTTCACAACAGCACAAAACTCCTGAAAAAAAACCCATACCACAATTGATACAAAATACATCTGAAACATTAGATAGAATATGTTGATATGATAGATATAATTAAGACTACAAAGAAATATGTATTGTGAGGAAAGTATTTTTATGTTACTGATCATTAGACATTATCTTGCAATTAAAATGCCATTTTATAATGTATCATAATTTAAAATGTTAAAGATAATTTTAGTCATATGTGCTTTATGTTAGTGTGAATCTAATTGTAAGAGCATAAAATTAAAAAAAAAATTAACATAAACTCTACATTATTTATGTATGTATGTGAACTTACATTGGCTGTGGTGTAGTCTACAACCTTCTTGGTTGTCAGGTCGCATTTGTTGCCGACCAGCAGCTTGTTGACATTGTCACATGCATAGCGATCAATCTCCTCGAGCCATTGCTTTACGTTGCTGAAGGAGTCCTGAAAAGAAGAATATAAAAAATATTAGAATTAGGTTTTTAATTAAAAATGGGACTATCATTTATGAATATCTTTCCATTAGTTAAGCAGTTGATACAGATAGTCTAGAAGAGATTGCTGTCTAGCAACTCCACCTTTTATAAAGATGTAAGAAGGACCTGGATAACCTATACACTGTCCAGCTCCAACTGTTATAAATCATTTTTTTTTTAACTATAATGCTATCTCAACATTAAAAGGTGCTAGTTAAATCCATCCAGGACAGCTACAAAATAAAGGCTAATCTAGTTATAGTATCAATTTCAGACATTTATTACATAATTTATTAGACATTTACCATAAAACTTTATATATATCATAATGTATGTTTATATAACAATATTTCGGGATATAAAGTTAATCTTAAGCAGTTGATAAAAGAAATAATAAAATCTACATTCACAAAATGAAACAAACCAATTATGTTACTATTACTTATAAACTGTGATTTGAAATTAGTGTGATTTACCTGATCTGTGCAATCATAAACAATAATAATTCCATGTGCCCCCCTGTAGTATGAGGATGTGATGGTTCTAAACCTTTCTTGGCCCGCTGTGTCCCAAATCTGTAACTTTATTGTCTTGCCATCTAATTCTACAGTCCTAATTTTGAAGTCAACACCAATAGTACTGATGTAACTTTCTGTGTAAGTGTCATCTGCAAATCTGAGCAATAAACAAGACTTGCCCACACCAGAATCACCAATCAGCAGTAGTTTAAACAAATAGTCACTGGAAATAAATTTTAGTGGTTAATTACAAATTCCAAAGTTAGACTCGGACGTCAAATGATATTCAGAACAATAAAACAACAAAGGAGGCGTATCTTAGCAAACAAAGAAGATACATACAACACTTGACCGTATTTTATATTCAATAAATAATAAATTATTTGGGTCATTAAAACTATATAATGAAGGATTTGGAGTACGGAAGTTACAATTGTATATCAATCACAGTTTATTTTGCGCCATTCACGATCCATACGATTACGTTTTACGTCTACAATCCTAGTAGCACTACGCATACAGTGAGTCACCAGATTGTATTTAAACATGATTATGAACATTGCAGGGCGTAGGATAAACACCATATCAAAGTCTACTAATTTTGTAGCTAAAGACAATGAACATATAGAAAAGGGAATGGATTTTGTCAGTCTCAGATAAAAAACACCACGACACGTTATCAATACTTACTACTCTGGATTCATTTTGTACTATAAATTTATTAGATCCAAAACTATTTATTTACGGGAATAATCCGAAAATAATGAAATTCTTTGTTTCGTAAAGCACTAAACAGCAAAAAAAAAGTAATAATTATACGTAGAGCGTAGAATAATGGCCGCCGAACGAAACACCCACACTGACGTAAGTCAGAATTTCTCGACAGGAACAGGAGTGCCACTTGGCAAATATTGGCTGCGTTCAAATTTTTGTAAAATGCCATTCACACGGTAGGTAGTTGGAGCTCCAACCGTATGGCAGTCTTGGTCGGAATGCTTAATGAGAAAGTATTTAAAAAAAAAATTTGTTCCTGAAATTGAACTAGATGTCGCTACAATACTTTCTTGATTTGTCCATGACAACATGAAAAAATCCAATCTTCATAATGTGCGTATAGATTGGCCAAATGAAGGGCGAATGAACGAGCGTTAAACGGTTTTACGTTATTTTTAAACAGAATCTGATGACAAAGGGGAAGATGAGGACGTCTTGATACTTGTAACATTTTTAATATTAATAGGTATATCATAAACTTTTTAATAATTGTCTCGTAGCATGAAGATATTCCCGATCGAATTCAGATCACGGCAAATTTTACATAGATTAGACATTATATAACTCTGAATAAATGTATATACAAAAATGAACTTAAAATTGAAAAATTAAAGTGTACTTTTCATTGTTTCTTCTACGGAAGCTAATCCGAGCCGAGAGAGATCGTCACAACAGAGACAGTGTGACTCGTTCTTTCAACTTACCATTATAAAAAAATATTGTTGATTATGGTTACAAAAAGATAGTGTTTATTATTATTATTAACGCTATTTGTTTAATCATTTTCTACTGGTAACCCTTTTTTAGTGTCATGGGGTGACTGACATATTAGACATAATTTAAGTATATTAGGTATTTAGTATTTTTAATTCAGTAGATTCTTATACATTTTAATAGTAAAAATTGTAAAAAGCGTTGCGTTTATGTTTGTTACACAAAGTGTAATAACGTGAAAGCCAGTTACACAAATATCTATTGAAATTGTCATTAGTTTAAAGCGAAATTACGTATACAAATTTGACATTCATTACAGCTTACAAGCGTCATTAAACCATAATGGACGTTTGTGTAACTGACCGTAAATCTTGTAGTGGTTGCAATATGTTTTTTCTCGATTTAGATAAAAATAACAAGCTGAATCGATCGTCGATTTAAGAGTGCGATGCAATTCGATCGACTTAGTGGAAAACATTTTTTACATTTAATATATTTTTATTTATGAAGTAAAGTGTGTATGTTTATGGTTTCGCGAGAACATATCGAAGTGGTAAGCGCGTTTGATCTGCGCTTGCGAAGATTAAGCACCGTCCGCAAAGGCCAGCAACGGATATTTTTTTTGTATTTGATCACCTACCCAGTTGCTGGCCTTTAAGGATAGGCTTTGCGAGATGAGGCGAGAAGGTGCAGGGTGGAGCGGAGTATGGTGGGTGTTTGCTCCCTTTTTTTTCTAAGCCAGTGCTTAGTAACATGTAAAAAAATTTGGTCACTCATCCAATTCACAGATCAAATACGCTAACCACACGGAATTCCTCAGTAGGCCCGAGTGTAGATGCCAAGGATGAAACCAATCCACCCAGTATTCCTAACTAGGCCCAAGTGGAAGTCTCAATGCGGTGTCAACGCCGGAATTTTAACGCAATGTTTTACTAACTCGTGATGAGGGCTTATATTTTGTTGTTCATGGGGTTTTAAATTCGGAGCATTGAAACCTTACTCCGGAGCTAAAAAAATACTCCGATTTCATATACAAATTATATATCAGTGTCAGGTTTATATTATCGCTTGAAAAGATTCATTATTTATACACGAGCAAATAATACTTACACTGACGACAAGGACAAATAATAATGTTAGACATCAACATTTTTAAGTTGAACTGTTGATCGAAGTTTTGAACTCTTTCAGGTAAATGTAGGCATTAGAGATGCATTAAAGCATTATACGTCTGGTCTGTGACATGTTCAATTATAGTCTATGAATAATGAGGAAGTTTTTAAAAAGAATATTAAGTTTATAAAAAAATATAAACTCTGTCAGTGTTCTTATGGATATGATAATTCTGATTAATAGAGTTGAAATTCAATCAGTTTGAGTTATGCAAACGCAAATCGAGTAATAAAAACGATTCCTTTTATTTGTATAAAAGAAAATGGAAACTAACGTAATGGAAGTGAACATAGAGAAAGTTTTTAAAAGTTATGGAAATCCATAGAATTATTGCTGTGAAATTATTAATAGTAGGATTTAGCTGCGGTATACAATAATATTACCATGACATTGTATTTTATAAATAACATACAGATAGTCCTCTTCTTCTTCTTTTTTTATTAATGGCTTATCTGCGGATGGCTTATCATTTCGGACAATTCTGCCAATGTCAAGTGAATAAATAAATTTCTACATGTAAAATGAAAATGAAATGAATGAAAGATGACGGTGATCCCGTAGACAGAGTAAGTATAATGTCTCCTCTACACGTAGACGGATTCATCTGCGGACATCGGCGGACGCATCCGCAGATGAATCTCTACGAACCGTCCACACGTCTGAAGGTCGATCAGTCTGTGTTAGTTCTCGTCAGACGCAACACGTACGCAGGCAAAATGGATATCGAGACCGTTTGGATTCCACAGGCAGTTTTCTGCTTGATACAGCTCCAGAAATTTAAAAGTTTCTTCAGTGCTCATGTTAGCCATTTTAACACGCAAAAAAAACTGTAATAATCACGCGTACAATCTCATTCGCTTCCCGATGAACACTGATGCGTCTTCAGACGTGTGGACAGACCGCTCGCTTGCGTCGATCGCTCGCCCTGGAACCCTTTGATCCGTGCCACAAAAACCGACAACTCGCGGATAAGCGCCGGACGCATCGGCCGACGTCAAATACCTACCACAGATGAGCAAATCACCCCCTCTATACGTCGGCGGACGCGTCTGCCGACGTCATCTGCAGATGAATCTGTCTACGTGTAGAGGAGACATATGACGGAATAACATGTTCTATCTCATTCATGGGGGAAAGAAATGGCTTAATACAATTTCCATTAGTTAAAGCGAGATGGAAACATTTATTTTTTGTCCTTATCAATGTGACCGGTTTTGTTTGTTTGGCACTGTGGCGATGTTACTGCGATGAATTAGATGTCGCTATGTATCAGTCGCCAACTGTGGCGACTGATACATAGCGACATCTAATTCATCGCAGTAACATCGCCTTGGCGACTGATACATAGCGACATCTAATTCATCGCAGTAACATCGCCACAACAATCGATAGCGAGAAGACTAGCATCGTCACAGCCATCGATAGCAAGACGAACTGCAATAAGTTTCAACAGCAAGTAACGAGATGGCGCTGTACATCATCCCGACCTGGTCCTCGCAGCCCACGACCGGACCTCAGTTCACACACAACTCACCGGCGTGGCAGCCCTGCACACCAGCAGCTTCGGTCCCGACGTCACAACCATGGCACTTGCAAGCTCTGAAGCACTGACTGCATACCACCTACTATCAACATGGATCGACCTTCGGTCTAGGGGGAAAGTACTGTGGCGACTGATACATAGCGACATCTAATTCATCGCAGTAACATCGCCACAACAATCGATAGCGAGAAGACTAGCATCGTCACAGCCATCGATAGCAAGACGAACTGCAATAAGTTTCAACAGCAAGTAACGAGATGGCGCTGTACCAATACAAGCAGCATAAATTAATAACTACAAGACATTTAGAACAAAGAAACCTACATCACACAGAATAAGTTTAATTACCAATTAACATAAATAGAACGTCCAACCTGCATCGGTAGGACCGCGGTCCCCGGGCTAACAACACCTAGCTCGGAGGGAGACACTTATCCTTTAGTCTCCCTGGCCAGTTGTCTCCATTACCACACATCCAACCTTACGGTTCCTAAAGCACCAAGCTTGCTTGGGACCAATATGTCAAAATTTTACTACTAGTTAGTCGTCGAATTCATAATTATTCAAAGAAGTTCGAAAAAAGTGTATTTTAAGAGTGTTTTATATGTTGTGTAAAGTTTAGACGTAAGAGACGTTATTTTTAATTTAGAACAATGGTTATGTGCAGTGTTTTATTTTGTAAAAATAGACCCGAAAGATGCATTGATGGTGTATCATATCACAGGTCAGTTAGAAGTGTTTTGTTAATATCTTTACCATTATTACGTTTACCATTATCATAACCGATGTGAAACTTATTAAATACGACCGAAATAAGCTAAAAATATCATTAAATTATGTTTGCTAAAAATATAACCTGAAATTATTAATGCTGTCATCTGTGCGTTTGAAATCTCCCCAAAACTGCTTTATAATCAAATTATAAAAAATTCTATTTAGCATATATCAAAATGTTCGTATCACAACTATTTTGTAAGATAGTCAAAAATTGCGATTAAAAAGAACCTAGAAGATAGTTTTAAACTTTTGATTAAAATAAATCAAATTTTGAAAACTAAACTATTATTATTTTTGTGTTTCAGTTCAGTTTGCTTGGTTATATTAAACTTCCGCTTAATTCTCTTTATTGTGAAGTTGAATTATATCTTCCAGAGTTAGTTAAATATCATGTTGTTATTTGGAAATACTAAAATTATGCTATTGTATTTTTGTTTTTCAGTAACTCAGTCATATTATTATTATTTTAATAACTTCATTTTTCCATATTAAAATATGAAATTTATTATATAGATATAATTAATTAAATTGTATTTGAATTTTAGGTTTCCATCGCATGAAATTGAACGTAGAAATTGGATAAAAACTTGTGGAAGACCGAATTGGGAGCCTTCAAGGCATGCAAGAATATGTTCAATTCACTTTGAAAAACATTTGTTTTCTACTGTAGGAAGTAAAATAACATTGAAACCATTTGCTGTGCCAACAATATCAGTTTGTGTGAGTACATATTAATAATTTTACTAAAGATGTAATGTAATATAATAGTCACTTATTATACAAATAAGGTATTTATTACATAACAAGTTCATAGTTGAATGTTAACTTACACAATCAATATTTAAGTGTAACATTAAGAATGGACAGTATGACAAAATGTGAAATCATAAAATATACTATGATCTGTTCTTAGAAATTATATCAAAGATTGTAGTAATGTGATATTTTACTTTTTTTTATGGATAATGGTACAGAACCATTTGTGCGCAAGCCTGACTTGCTTTTGGCTA